GGGCTGGTGGCGTGTGATGGGGCACACCTGAACCGAATGGAGCCTCATCGCCGCCGCTGTTTAAATGCCGAGCGCGCCCCATGTACGCACGCTGGTGTCCTCATGGGTCCAGGAGGGGTATGTGGAGGGACTCCCGTGCCGCCAGAGTCGTGAGCTGCCAGACCCGCAGTCCGAACAAGAACCGCACCCGTTACACGGCCGTCGGGCAAGGATGCTGGTCCGTCTAGTCCCTTCAAGTGCAGTGGGCAGAGAGAAGGACGGAGCCGCTGATAGAAGCCGCCACCCCTCGCGCCCCGGAACGGAGAGGGGAGCGCGTGCGGCCGCCGGACTCCGCCCCTTACCTGGACCCTTCCTTCCTTCCTGACCACTGCTCTTCCCTTCACGAACCCCGCAGCATGACGAGGACACCAGATCCCCTGTTTATTTTGGACACTGGATTCCCTTTATTCTGGACACTTTGTTTATTTTCTGTTAATTAACTGTGTCTGTCGTTTGCTCCTCCCGCTAACATATTCATTAACGTAAACTACGCCAGAGGTCGTACACACCTCACGCACCGGAAGCCATGCGCACAAAAATTTACTTACAGGCTGTGAGTCAGAAGTTCCAGACTGTCCTTGCAAAGTTGGAACTGCCCCACTTTATAGAAACAAACACCGGCATTGTAGGCTACTTTCACAGGAAACAGTCCTCATCCTCCGCAAAAAAAAGTTGTAAATACAACTTAACTACTGATTTCTAGTCATGTCCTCTTTTGGAAGACCAAACAAAATAGTTTTGCTTTCACAATGAAGCACAGCGGGCTTGAATGAGTGGCGGCCGGTGGGCTTGAGAACGGCACGGCCGGTGGATTCGACGAAGGAGTGTCCGGAGGGCTTGCGGCTACCACATGTGACGACCCCGGGCTGGACTCCGCTTCGTCCACGGTGCAGCGTCACACACGGCGGGCTTGAATGAGTGGCGGCCGGTGGGCTTGAGAACGGCGCGGCAGGTGGATTCGACGAAGGAGTGTCCGGAGGGCTTGCGGCTACCACATGTGACGACCCCGGGCTGGACTCCGCTTCGTCCACGGTGAAAGCCGATCCGGCGATCCACAGCACTAAGTTGATGTATTCCCTCAGCGACAAGCACAGGTCAGCTCCAGGCATGACGAAGCGGATATCGTCCTCTTTTGGAAGACCAAACAAAGTAGTTTTGCTTTCACAACGAAACACACAGCGCCTTCACGACATGGCGGCGGCGGCAACAACAATACTACAGCAAGAATAAAAGTTATGCCTTCTTTCTTTGCGTGAACATTTGGGTGGCATTATGCAAATCTTCCCACATCGTGACGTAGACATGTGGGGGCGTGTTAGAACGAGCTGTTTTAGGTAGGCGTGGTTGACTCTTAACTTTTATAAAGAATATCTCTTTGGATTTGAGACTTTAGTCTTTGCAACTTTACAGATCTTATTTATGCACCAAGAGCTTGTAACACTCCAAAGAGAAAGGACAGATTGAAATCGCACCATATGACCCCTTTAAATTGTGAAATATTTATATATCATGCTATTATTTATTACACTGCCTAATCAATGTCTTCTGAAGTGATAGAATGATAGATATGTGTGAGAAATATTTCTTGAGATATGTAAAACAACACTCTTGATCAACCCACATATGCTGTTGGCTGAAAGTGATGATTTATGGTTTAAAAAGATTCATCAGCTGGAGTCGCATGGATTATCGTCGTGTTCATTTTGCATAGTCCTTTTGCATAGAGATGTATTATTTTCCTAAAAATCTTTGTTTGTGTTCATCTGAAGAAAGAAAGTCATATACATCTGGGACGACATGAGGGAGAGTAAATGATGAGAGAATGTTCATTTTTTGGGTGGACTGTCCCTTTAAGACATGCGGATTTAAATTAAAGTGGGCAGTTTCACCCAATCTCATGTTAATCTTGAGTACCTATAGAGTAGTACTGCATCCTTCATATCTCCAAAAAGTCTTTAGTTTTATCATATTTATAAAATAGATATACAGCTTTACGATTCTCTCCGGAAAAAGCCGAGCTCCCGGAGGTGTGCCGTGGGTGACGAGCACTTGAGCGCCGAATGCCAACAAAATTATTGTCATTCTTGTATTTATTTAATTATTACCATTATTCTTTGCTATTGCCATTTATTATTCTCTCACAGCACAGAACGTTCTGCACTCTTCTGATCCTCTGAACTCCCAATCAAAACACCAGCATTTGAGCACATCTCGCTGATTCGCTGTAACATCACGTCTCTTCAGCAAAAGCCTGAGAGAGTTGTAACCTCTCTGACTAGAGCACTCGAGAGAGAGAGCAGGCAGACTGATTACACTCATATCCACCAATCAGAGACATATCTCACCCAAAAATAACCAAATTACCGGTGCAATCAGTTATGCAAATGACCACACGCTGACTCGTCATGGCCCTGGTAATGATTTTGCTCGCTACAAGTGGCTCTCGCGATGGTGGCGTGGTGAGTCACGGTTCTCCCAGAGCTGAGGTAATGCCACCGAAAGTCCACAAAACAAAGGAGTAATCAATGCTGTTGTGTTCTGTTTGAGCGAGTGAATTACGTACTTCACAGTGGCTAGAGTTTATTTTTTTACTTCCTTTATTAGCTTCTGAAGTGTGCTGTATTTGCGTCACAGTGTGACAAGAAATACGCAGACATGAATAAAAGAGCAACAGGAGCAACCCATGATGCTTTGCATGTACTTCTTAATTCAGGCAATTTCCTGTCTGTCAAAATAGACTTGAAACCTCACTTACCATATGAACACATAAATCCACTTCAGATTATGATTAGCTTAGCTCATACATCAGTGAGTGAGTGAGTCGTTAGAATGATTCAGACTGATAACATTTATACTGATTTATGAGTAATTTTTAGTTATTCATTGCAAAGAACTGGTTCATAAGACTCATTATTTGATTAAAAATGCAGTAAAACAGTCACTTTTGAATGTCAGTGTTTATAGGATCAGCTTTAGATTCAACACAGAATTTGGCATCATTTTCGTACACTTTCTGGATTTGCCAAGCTAAGATGTTCCTGCAGTTATACCTTATATTGTGCAATACACAACAGGTTCATAAAGTCCTGGAACATCTCGTCCACCTCTTCTGGAAGAAAAAGGGTCTGTTAGGTGCAGCTCATAATAAGCCGGTTAAATTGGACGAGTGGCTTTCCAATTGTAAGACTATTGTCCGCAGGCAAGCGTGAGAGGCAGAAACTTCTCCTGTGAAAGCAGCTTGATTCTGTGTTCAGGCATGTTTCTCTGCATCTGTGCTTTCGTTAGCTTGATTCATATTTGATTTTTTTTTATGCAGCAGTGTGATTAACTGCAATATTGAAGGTCAAGGTTTCGCAGTCATCTCGAAGATAGCATCTCATACAGAGATGTTGATTCATTTCATTTGAGAGATTAGAAACACTGAGCAATCAGGATACAAATTTCATTCGTTTGAATATGACACTGTCAGTTATTTGTAAAAAGAAAAAATAAATCTCTCTGTTTAGTTTATTAACATATTACCGCTACAGATTAAATGTAGTGAGACATAAGCGTCTCTGCATTATTTTCTAGATTGTATTCTAATTTCCTTCAATCTGAGATCATTTCATACAATATTAATGCCATATTAATCAAAAGATGAATGGAAATACTCTGGTTTTACAGCACTTTTTTTAATGTGTTGTCACCCTTTTTTTAATGTCCAATTCTCGCTATTAACTAACTATTAACTAAGAGTTTTCCCTCAATAAACTCCTAATTTACTGCTTAATAGTTAGTCCATCATCTATCTATCTATCTATCTATCTATCTATCTATCTATCTATCTATCTATCTATCTATCTAT